TTTTTTTTTTTTTTTTTTGTTGGATGTCAAAGCCACTCGAAGTCGAATAGTCTTTTCAGAAGTTAGTATAATGCTTCCCGGACCGTGTGGATACTCACATTTTGTTTGTCGACGCTCCCTACCATAGACTAGGCTTCGAAAGTTCGTGATATTGATAATAATAATATAACACTAAACAAATGAAATAGAGTGAGGTGTATATGAAGAAAAATTTAATAATTAATAATGGCTACAGAAGAATCAAATGAAGGCCATTTTTAGTGAATTTTACAGCAAATCGACTCTAGAAACTAAGGTTAATGTTTGAAACCCTTAATCACCCATTAATTCCTCTAAAACGGTCTTCTTATCAGAATAATCTGGAAACTGATCACCAAATACACAAACATCCAATACACTAAGCTTCTATTTTCCATTGCTGTTGTCTGTTTAAAAAATAAAAAAAAAATGAAATTAAAAGCAAAACTTTATAAATTTTGCTTTAGTGAAAAAGAACTTACCTTAGTGGCCGAAGAAGATAAAGAGATGGATGCAGAAGAGGTTGAAAGGCCCATATTGTAAGCCATAGTTCCATCAGGGTGATAGAGACCATAGTTTCTTTCAGAGGTTGGCCCAGGCTTCATGTCTTCATTAAACAGAGCAAAAAGATATACTTCGAGCCTCGAATTTGGCCTCAAAGGAGTCCCTTCATTTGCCAATTGTCTTCTTAATAAATTCCTATTGTAAATGGCTGCATTTTCAGAATTTGCTCCAATTTCATCCAAGTCTCCTTTTGAAGGCCACCCAGTCTCTGAAACCCTCACTTCAATCCCATCAAAACCCAGCCTTGCCATACCAAATATCACTGCATCTACTTGAGCATACAACATATTGTCATAATTTAGCTTAGTGGAAGGATCGACCAAGTAAGTCATGGGATTCAAAAGCGCATAATCCAAAGATATGATATCAGGGTTATCTTTGTAAGCAAAATAAGGGTATGCATTGATCCAAAATGGCGCTTTTGTTCTTGACAAAAACTGCAAAAATTGTGAAATGTAGCTTGACACTTCACCTTTGAAGCTACCAGCTGAAGGAGGGAAGGATTCCTCAAGAACAGCCAAGGATGTTGGAGTTGAGACATGAATGTACGAACCTAGCCCTAGTTCCCCCAACGCTTCATGAATGGCAATCATAGCCGGGATGAGGTTCGCCATTAGCACCGTGTCGTTCCCGGTGAATATCTCGTTCCCGACCGCAATTCCGGTGATCCTTACGGCCGGGAAATAGGGCTTGATGTGGATTGCAACCCATTGGAGGGCTTGTTGAGGATCCAAAAGCTGCGTTAGCATCTCGTTTTCTATGGTCACAACGAGCTCTGTGTTGGAGTTGGCAAATGAAGTCAATATTTGTGGATTTGTATCGTATATTCTCACTTTTGAGATCTTAAGTGAAGTTAATAACTCCAAAACTTTATCCGGTGATGGCAAATTATCACCAACTTGGCCATAATTAACACCTAGAGATCGAACTCCTGCCAAACTCACAACAATAATATAAGAACACATAAACAAAAATTACATTAAAATTAAAAACAAAATATTCTCCTCATACCTGAAAATGAAAGGAAAAATAAAAGAAAAGAATGGATCATGGCAGAAGAGTTAAGAGATTTGGGTGCAAATAATGGGTACTATATACCAATGGGAAATGGTATGAAATCTTCTTTTTTTCCATCATCAATGGGTCCAATAAACCATCTCTTTCTTAGTACACAAGCAATTCAGTAAAAGATCATAATATCAATAATTATGTATACGATGTATAGATTATAAATATTAATTAGGTTGGTGGCCGTACCTTTTACTTGGCTTTGGATGTTTGGATAAGGATGTGGAAATTACGAGAGTGTCCTTGATGAAGAACTCTTACTTGCAATTTGGTCTGCAAAGATGACCAAATTAAAGTCGGTTCAGATTTTTCTTTTCGATATTGGTAAAGTAAAATGTAAATGAAAATCCAATTATATGTAATTAAACTTAATTTTCTTTTCATTTATAAATTATTGAATTTAGTAATAGATGTGTATATTTGTGCAAATATTATGGATGAGTGGACCCACTGTGCAACTTTGTTAAAGGTGGTTATATAATTCAATGAATACATATATTTTTTGGAGGCAATGAATAGACATTTCACATGCATCCTAATTTCCTTTTAACAAAATAAATATTTAATGCCTTTTTTTATTTATATATAAATTTAAACCTACATTTATTTCAAAAGGGAAAACCCCCCAGGGGTTTAGATACACTGATAAGATAAGCTCAGAAAGAGATATGAAAAGCAAGATGGGTTATTTTAGCAAATAAATTATTTATTTACTTTTTTTCTAAGGTTGCCACGTCGCCCCCACGCCATTGGGCTGATTTCTAGGCCACAATTCAATTATAATTAAAAAGATAGAAGAATATATCTCAACTATTGTGTCAAAATGAAAAGTAAGATTTAATTTGTTATTGGAATCGATTATATAAATTGAGTAGAACACAAATTTATTTATGAATATTATAGTTGAGTGGATTATTACAAAAAAAAAAATAATAAATAAATAAATTACATAAATGTCAAAATCAGCGTAGCTTATTTGACTTGTGTTATTGAATAATTCATATTCAAGAGCTTAATCGAAAAATTCTCATTATTGAAATGGGCCTTTTCAGGCCTGTATTGAAATGGGCTTTTTGGTAGATATGGAAATGGGCCTTACTTGGCGGGCTTCTATTTGGATAAACAGTTGTTACGTGTAAAGTTGACGTCCACTTATTTTTAAATAATCATGAAATAGACACGTCATACTGCTTCGCTGCTTTGTAAATTGACGGCGGCACGCAAACTGGTTTTATTGTTAGGACGTGTCTTCGTTTTTTCTTTTTTAATAATATGAATTAACTGATCATTATAATATATTTACGTCTTGTGTTTTTTTAGTCATTTTTCTATATTATTGTTAATTTTATTTTATTTTTTAATATAATTTTCTCAACCGCAACTTTAGAACAACACCAAATTTAAAAGAGAAAAAAAAAAGAGTCGAGAATAAATTTGAAAAATAATAAATTAAAAAAAAAATCCCGAATATTTCGCGGTCTCGGGAAAAAAATAAAATATAATATATGTTTTACAAAAATGTAAATTTAATCAGCCCAAATCCAGTTGAGATCCTCCATGGAAGGAAGCTCGAGCTTGAGCAGCAAGGGATCCAAGTCCTCAAACGACGTGCTCTGCACAGACGACGTCGTATCGGTCTCACAACTTACAGTACTTTCTTCAAACCGGGCTGATCTTACATCAATAATGTTCTCATCCACTCGCGGCTTCTTCCTGGTGTTTCCACCGGCGGTGGAATTCATGCCGGTGAGGGTCTGAACGACGGACTTGAAATTTGAGACGTCGGTCTGAATATGGTGGTACTCAATAAACACCACCTTCACTGGACCCGCCGCCTTGGAGTTCGCCATCTTTTGAAAGGAAAGAATGTCTAAGGTTATAATTTTGCTCTGCTTCTGGTTCTGGTTCTGTATGGATTATATATTAGTATAGAGAGTGAGAGAGGCACAATGAATTGACCGTTTGAGAAAAATGGAGGGAGTTGACCGAGTCAAAGGCAGCATGCGAAGAATATTGAAGAAGTCAAGTGGGAGTCTTTGATTTGTCGTCGTTGAACTCCATGCAGGATTGTAATGTTGCCTCATACGATTTCAATTAACTTTTACTTTCTCCTTAATCCTTCCTTTCATAAAGGAATCCCTTCATAGGGGTGTGAGTAAATTCCCTTATATATCATGTAATTTTGTAAACTAAGTTAAATTAAAATGAACATGTTTTATTATTATTATTATTATTATTATTTTAGAAATAAAATTTTGAGTTGAGAACAGTGAGAATAATTAAAGAAAGAAAAGAAAGAAATTGGGAATACTATATGATTGGTTGGCTGAATAAAAAGGGTCAAAAGATTTATATCGATGGATTAATGGCAGAGTTGGTGTAGAGTTGGTCAATTTAGAAGAAGTTCTTAAGATGGTATTAAAGTGCTGTTTGCGATGGGCCCAAACGACTTTAAGGACCTTCACTGCCAAAGACTCAAAATTGAAAGAAGCTTAGAGTGCTTGTATTAAGACTTATCCGAGCGGCGGCGGCGAACAGGCCGTAGGAGAGAGATTTCGAGGGTGTAGCCCATTTTGAATACCTTGTTTCAGAGCGCCAACATCATCCGGGGAAGGTCCATTTCTCCCGACGCCATTGAAGAGGCGTCAGAAGAAGTGGAGGAGAATTTAAGCGCCCTATCCCGACAGCGCCATGGAGTTTAAGAATGTCTGGAGAAGACCAACCATTTGTTTCCCCGAGCAAAAAACAAGACCGTCCTTTTAGAATCATACATAGTCCTACCCATTTAGGACCATTTCTTCTCGGCCCAAGTGTATTAAACGCCCGTTTAATTTCATTGATAGTACGCCCAATTGGGCCATCTTCTCATCGGCCCAAGTGTTGTCATGGCCCGTTTAAATTAATTGATGGCCCGACGGATTAGGCCTTTTGTTTCGGCCCAATTATTGTTAAGCCTTTTGTTTCGGACGCCTTTTCCTCGGCCCAAATCTGATAAAGCCCCGTTTAAATTCAAGCCTTTTTTTAGCCCAAGTGTAGTAAAGCCCATTAAAATTCATTGACGGCCTAACCATTATGCTTTTTCCTTCTCGGCCCATGTAGAATAAAGGCCTGTTTAAATAAATTGGTGGTCAGCCCAATTAGGCCTTTTTCGTCGCGGCCGAACTATGGTAAAGGCAAGTTTAAATTTATTGACGGCCGACCGATTAGGCCACTTTCTACTCGGCCCAAGTAGGATAAAGGCCCGTTTAAATTCATTGATGGCCCGTCCAATTAGGCCTTTTTTCTCGGCCCAGATATTGTCAAGCCCGTTTAAATTCATTGACGGCTGGCCGATTAGGGATCTTTTTCTTCGGCCCAAGTCTGGTATAGGCCCGTTTCAAAAGGCCCTTTACATTTTTTGTGGGCCTGTGCCATTCGCCCTTTTCTTTTCAGGCGAAGTATATTAAAAGCCCATTTAATTTCATTGATGGCCTGCCCAATTAGGCCCTCTTCTCATCGGCTCAATTGTTGTAAAAGCCCGTTTAAATTCATTGATGGGCCGCCTGGTTAGGCATTTTTTTCGGCCCAACTATTGTTAAGGGCCATTTAAATAATAATAATCATGCCTTTTTCTCTTCGGCTCAACTGTGGGAAAGGGCCATTTAAATATATTGAGGGCCGGTGCAATTAGCCATTTTCTCTTCGGCCCAAGTGTATTAAAAGCCGTTGAATTTCATTGATGGCCTGTCCAATTAGGCCCTTTTATCATCGGCCCAATTATTTGAAAGTTCCGTTTGAATTCATTGATGTCCCACCCAATTACGCCTTTTTTCTCGGCCCATGTAGGATAAAAGCCTGTTTAAATTCAATGATGACTTGCCCAATTAGGCTTTTTCTTCTCGTCCCAAGTCTGATAAAGGCCCGTTGAGATTCATTGATGGCCTGCGAATCTAGCCATTTTTCTCTTCGGCCCAAGTGTGGTTAAGGCCCGTTAAAATTTATTGATGGCCTGTCAAATTGGGCCTCTTTTCTTCGGCCCAATTGTATTAATGGCCCGTTAAAATTTATTGATGGCCTGTCAAATTGGGCCTCTTTTCTTCGGCCCAATTGTATTAATGGCCCGTTTATATTTATCGTTTCCCGCCCACTTAGGCCTCTTTCTCGTCAGCCCAAGTGGGGTAAAGGCCCGCTTAAATTCATGCCTTTTCTTCGCAGCCCCTGTTGTAAAAGGCCGTTTAAATTCATCGACGGCTTTCCCTTTAGGTCATTTTTTCCTCGGCCCAAGTTAGCTATAACAACTTTTTCAGCAATATCTTTAATTGGTAAATTCAATGCGCGAGTGAAATGCACTATTTAATATTAAAAAACAAATATTCTTTATATTACTGGATATTTTTTTGTTAAATATATATATTTAGAAATTCAGGGGGTTAGGTATAATTTTTATTAATTAAGAAAATATTAGTTCATATAAATAAAGTAAAAGGTTCGGTATACAATTTAAGCAAAATTTACCAAAACGTTTTCAAATTGTATCTTAGGACGAAAAAATTCATTCGGATAACTATCTCGAAAAATTGTTTACAAAAAAACTTAATGACCTCGACAATCTTTTACATTTTCTGTGAAATGACTATTTTATCTACCGACAAACACAAATTTTTCAACATGTTCTTACCTTTGAAGTCTTATGATTGAGTTATCAAGGTGTACATTTTTTATGAATCACGACTCCATGTTCTTTCATGTGTAAAGAATGTCGTTCTAGTCGGCTTAAAACTGAACAAACTTCAGCAGGCCTAACGTTAGTTTTTTCTTGAATCATCATACAAACTTATGATTGCAATCTTCTCCATTCTAATTTATGCTAGTTAGAGTTGCATGGACAACGTGTATAGCCAAACGAACTTAGTTTCTACCTGAACTGTGTTCAATCTGTAAAGATAAACCTCGTCTAAGGCCTATCAAAATCACAGATATAAATGAAGCACGAAGATGTGAAGATCCCTTCATGCACAACTTATTAGCACGAGTGGTAGAAAACAAATTTAGGTAAAACCGAAAAATGGGTCGTGGAATTCCATGAGCAATTAGGGTTTGAACACAAAGAAATTCAAAAAGAATTTAAAGTGGAAAAATGACATGAACTTTTAGAACAAATGGGTTTGAAAACAAATCATATATAAACGCAAGTTTGTGTGTTTATATGAATTTGTGAGTCATTTCACCAAATTCAAGTGGACAAGTCAGGACAGTGAGGTGGTCACTACCACCAAACATTTCAAAGACTTTTATTAATACCATAAAATGAGCACTTGGGAGTGGGTTTTGACATGTTTTGGAAGCTCAAATATTATATGATATTGTATTACTTTGCTTGTTCCATAGACCTTGGCACTTAAATGGATTCTTATTTCTCATCTTGTCTTTCTTCCTTTAGTTCTATTACTTTTGCTTGCTTCTTTTATCCCTAAATCTTATCCTTTTTAATCCCTAAATCTTTTGCTTGTTCTATGGCTAATCTATCTGTATATGAAAGATCACACCATCCTTCTAATTATCGAGCTAAAAAAAGAAAAATTAATCAGCTAACCCAACTCGTATGAACGGATTTGAGTTGGGTTTCGTTTAAATAAATAAATAGTCAGAAATTAGCTAAAAAACGTCAAAAAAAAAATTGGCTAAAATTATTTTCAAACTTATTTTCAAAAGTGAAAAAACGTATGGAAGACTCCATTTTTTTTTATACCCAACTCTTTGGAATTGCGTGGAAAAAGAATACATTTTCGTTTCCTTCAAGAAATGGACTCCCACCGTTGCCATTAATCTAGGTTTAATTTAACAAGCTAATTAGCATAAAGCTAGTTAATTAGTGGCTTAATTAATGGGGGTGCGTTGAGAGGTTGGTGGGTGTGGCAGTTGGTAGTTGATTTCTTGTTAGACAACCCCCCCATTATTAGTCCTTATTTATCCACAAATTTTAATTAAATATATAATTTTAGGACCATATGATTTGCATCCCAATACCCATACACCATGTTTAATTCCATTTGATTCTCATTAAGATTAAGAAAAATAATTTAATTTTATAATCAATTTACCTAACTACGGCTTAAGATTAACAAAAATATATTTCTAACCATCATCTTAATATATTTAATTAAACGCCTAATCACGCGTAATCTTGCATTAAGATGTTGTTAATATTTAATTTTTAAAAAAACAAAAAATAGTTTAAATAAGATTTTGGGTGCAAATCATGTACGGCAGTTGCCCTATAGGTCATCAGGATTTATTTATAAAAATATAATATACAATTATGTTATGTTGTTTATCCAATTATATTATATTATAACTAAATTTAAGCCTTATCTAAGGTAGTGGTTTAGCCGTAAAATACAATTTTACCCCATAATGTAATAATAAAAATAATATAATAATATATAAAAAAAATACTTAGAACCATATAATATATTCATTATTTAGCCCCAGAAAAATATCCCCGACTTACCATACAATATAAATGTCAAGGAAAATTAGAAGGGCTGATGTACTAGTGCCAAGCCAAACTCGATCACTTTCATTCTTCCGGTCCACAGGGGAACGTTGGCCAACCGCTAAAAACTATTTCCTTTCCTTTCCCCAAAAGTTTTAGACAATAGGTATAAACTCGAACATTATTGTTTGTGAAAATTCTTGTTCATAAAAATGTTTTAAAATTGAAGAAAAAAAACAAATTAATAAAAATATCTCTAAATTTTGCATTTATCTATATTTTAAAAAATACTATTAATATTTTATTTCAAAAATACAGGTTAAAACATAAAATAAAAAAAAATAAAAAAATATCCTTAATATTAATATTTGTGCA